TTACGATCAGATTTAGGATGCGCAGATGCTGATTTTTTAAGAGTACCACCGGCTTTCCATCCTCCTCTTTTTCCTTTTTTTTGAAGTCCGCAAAATTTCTTCTGTTTTTTTTTAGGTTCACGCTTAGGTTAGGCTAGGCTAGACTTTCATCCGCTTTTCTTTCGCCGTTGTAGGCCCCGAAATAGCTGCTTTTAGTTCTCGCTTACTGTCCGTTTCAGGATGCGCATATGCCCATTTTCTATCAACGCTCTCTATTTTTCTTTTGCTGTTTTTGAGCTCAAAAAATGGAATGTTTTTTCAGTTCTTGTTTACTGTCAGTTTCAGTATACACATGTGGTCACTTTAACGTTTTTTCTTTTTCTGTTTTATCCCCGAGAATAGCTTTTTTAGTTCTCGCCACTGTCAGACTAGCGCGGATTTCCACAACGGCGGATGTGGCACAGGTCGCGCAATAGCAAGCAACCGTTCAAAATCGAATTCCATGTCGTAATTCAGGGTTTTCTTTTCGTAAAACTCAAAGGAATGTTTACAAAAGAAATATTTATCGAAACAGAACAACAAAAACTATAAATATTTGGTAGAAACGAACAATAACAACTTTTTCATCCATTTTCAACGGGATTCACCTCCGCGGCTTTCTGCTGCGCTCTTTCCTGCGCCAGCAAAGCATTTCGTGCCTTTTTACTTTCGAGTCTATAATCAACTATAATAATTTTGCTGTGGTCTCCGTCCGTCCGTCTGTCTGTCTGAAGCCGAATTCAACTCGAAGGGGAAAGGAGCTAGAGCTTAGCTCTCTTCGGATTCGGATAGAGCGTGGTCAGAAACCCCCAAACTGATAAAAAAATTATCAAAACGTTTTTGTTTAAATTATTAAAATTAACTTTGAAAGTTGTTTCCTTAGTAAAAGGGGTGGGGGGCGGAGGCTGGGGTGATTTTGGACATAGTGAGCCAGGTGGCGCGCGTTTCGAGGATGAAAATTTTCACGGGGGATTTCATTTCTTTTTTGCTCTCATTCCATCCGGTCGGTCGTTATTTTTGTTTTTTTAAGGGGATTTCGCCTAAGGGAGGTATCTTAAAGGGCTGCCGACGGCATGTGTCGATCTCCCCCCATCAACAAATTGTGCTGGTAAGCATGCCTGCGCAAAGTGGTATGATAAGGGTATATAGTTACAAGCAAGTGATGCACAAGCAAGCCGCTTACGAGACTTTTAAAGTGAGCATTAGGCATTTTCAAACGTGCGAAACAATTAATCTACAGAACGGCTAATCAGGTATGAAGAAGAAAGCCGCGGAGGTGAATCCCGTTGAAAATGGATGAAAAGTTGTTATTGTTCGTTTCTACCAAATATTTATAGTTTTTGTTGTTCTGTTTCGATAAATATTTCTTTTGTAAACATTCCTTTGAGTTTTACGAAAAGAAAACCCTGAATTACGACATGGAATTCGATTTTGAACGGTTGCTTGCTATTGCGCGACCTGTGCCACATCCGCCGTTGTGGAAATCCGCGCTAGTCACTGTCAGCTTTGGTCCACACTCACGACAGTTTTCCCGTTTTTAGGCCGGCAGAATATGGATTTTTAGTTCTTGCCTACTATCCCCTTTTCATCAATATTTTTCTGCCTCTTGCTTTTCCTGTTTTTAGGCCCCAAAAATCGTTTCTTTCAGTTATCCGCCGGGGCGTGGGAAGATCAGAAGATGTCGGCTCCGAACGGGGTTCGTTGCTTTTTTTAGTGCACTTAACTTTACTTTTTAGGAAGAAGCTGATGACCGCAATGTTGAGATTTGGAAGATCAAGAAGCTCATCCGGAATTTAGAACTCGCGCGAGGGTGGGTAGTTTTATCTCTATTTTCATTTTGTCTTTAGAAATGGTACTTCGATGATTTCGTTGATCATCCCGCCCAAGGACCAAATCGCCCGCGTCGCCCGAATGTTGGCCGACGAGTTCGGCACTGCGTCGAACATCAAATCGCGAGTGAATCGACTGTCCGTCCTCGGCGCCATCACCTCCGTACAAGGCCGATTGAAGCTATGGACAAAAGGTATAGTTTTTTTGTGTTAAACACCTATGTAAACGTTTTTTTAGTTCCACCCAACGGCCTCGTTATTTATTGCGGCACGATATTGACGGATGACGGCAAGGAAAAGAAGGTCAACATTGATTTCGAGCCGTTCAAGCCGATCAACACCTCCCTGTACCTTTGCGACAACAAATTCCACACAGAGGCGCTTCAAGGTATGTACCGTTTTATGGCATCACTTGCGTTCTTTTTTTTAGCCCTTCTCGCCGATGACACGAAATTCGGGTTCATCATCATGGACGGTAACGGCACACTGTTCGGCACGCTACAAGGAAATTCTCGCGAGGTCCTCCACAAGTTTACCGTCGAATTACCAAAGAAGCACGGTCAGTTTGACTTTGAATTTTCGTTATTGTATCCTATTTTCCAGGCCGTGGTGGTCAATCAGCGCTGCGTTTCGCGCGTCTCCGAATGGAAAAGCGCCACAACTACGTGCGCAAGGTGGCCGAGATATCCGTGGAGATGTTTATTAAAAACGATAAGGTATTATACAAGTTTTTCTGCAAAATTATTGTCTTTTTAGGTTGCCGTCGCTGGCCTCGTACTCGCCGGTTCTGCAGATTTCAAAACGGAGCTCGGCCAATCGGACATGTTTGATCAGGTAAATGGAACTTGTCTTGCTTTTCAAAATCCAATTTTTTAGCGTTTACAAGCGAAAATCATCAAGACTGTCGACATTTCCTACGGTGGCGAGAACGGCTTCAACCAGGCCATCGAGCTGGCCGCCGAATCGCTGTCGAACGTCAAGTTTATCCAGGAGAAGAAGCTGATCCAGAACTATTTCGACGAGATCAGTCAGGTAATTTACTTGATGATTTTCTAATTTAATTTTTATAGTTTTCTAAATCAATTTATTTAGGACACTGGCCGTTACGTTTATGGAGTGAAGGACACGCTACAGGGCCTCGAGATGGGCGCCGTGGAGACGTTGGTGTGCTGGGAAAATTTGGACATTACAAGGTAAAACTGACTTCTCAATTCTAGTTTCTTCTACTCTACTTACTTTAAATTCCAAACTACTATAATTTAATTATCTCCCTTTTTCAGGTACAAGCTGAGAAACAACGCCGGCACCGAAACCATCCTCCACCTGCGGCCCGAAGAAGAAAAGGACAAGTCGTACTTCATCGACCGCGAGACGAACACCGAGATGGAGCTCGTCGAGTCGGTGTCGCTGCTCGAGTGGCTCGCCAACAACTACAAGACGTTCGGCACCGTGCTCGAGATTGTCACCGACAAGTCGCAAGAGGGCGCCCAGTTCGTGCGTGGTTTTGGTGGAATTGGAGGTGAGGATTTATGATTTATGATTTTTTTGGTATTTCCACGTATAGGGAATCGGAATTTTTCAATAGAACTAACGAAGGTGTTTTATCCGCAAACGTAAAAAAATATTGAAAAATACAAAAATCGTTTTTCCGACCAAAAGTGACCGTCTTTGGATCAACATGTTACAATTTTTAACTGTTCTGAGGCTTTTTAAGCTGTTTTTTTTACCAGAAATACCTTTTTATTATAGAGAGGGGAAGTGTCTTACTCTCAAAAAATACAAAAATATTGATTTCAAATTCTAAGCAGTTTGAAGTTTAAAGTTTACAGTCTAATTTGCTAAAAGGCTTATTAAAATACTTGTTATTTCATTACCAGGCATTTCTAAATCTATGAGGAAAAAAACGGATCCTCCTTTCCGGAAATACTAAGAATTTTCTAAATTTTCATTTTTCAAAAATAAAATCGCTTTTTTGAGGTCTTCTCCGCTATCGCGTCGACTTCCAAGCGCAAGATATGGCCGACGACCTGGACGGCATCGACCTCGACGACTACTAAAATGGATTGTTATGGGATTATAAAAATTTCACATAAAAAACAATAAATGATTTATGGCGCCAGGACCGCTTTTCCATTGCCGCCGCGCCCCTTCCTAAAACAACTTTTCTTTCGTACTATGGCCGGGAGCCACCCCCGGAAATCCCTGGTAATTTCTTGTTATCGATGTCACCGATGTTCCCTCCACTACGCGGTCCTTTTATATATGTTTGTGTGTGTGATTTTAATTGTTGATCTTAAAGGTTAATAAATTGGCATCAGTCGACCGAGGGCGATAATTTATTCATTTCAGATTTTTTACATAGAATACACAACAGTGACGATGGATGCCGGCGGAATTTCAACGTTGGCGAATCGGGTCGGTCTGGCCTGGTCGACGATCGTGTACTGCCCGGTGGTGTTGGCGTTTTTGTTGTGGAGCACGAGGACTCGTTGGGCGCCATCTGGGGCTACGAAGGCCACGCCTGAATGGTATTTAGTAAGCCGGTATTAAAACCTTGTAGGAGATAGAGCTCCAGTTTAAACGATTTTTTTCGAGTTTTTAGGCTAGATTTTGAGTGATTTTTAGGCTAGATTTAGGTTATTTTTGAAACGCTTGGCCTAAACTTGAGGTTATTTAAGTAAACTCTTTGAGTTGTGGGTTTAGGAGGCTCGCTCCTTAATAACTTTTATCTACATGATATAAAGGCGGTGAGGTGGTTTCCCTTATTTCGCTCTCTCCTTGCTCTCTCCTGGTAGGATCTCGGGGGCAGCTTTTATAGATGTTGAGTGGCGTGGGCAGCGGAAGTGGTGAAATCTGGAAATGGAATGTTAAGTGGTTGAAATCCTGGGGTTGGACGACTTGGTCCTGGATGGCGTGATGTCCTTTGACCTGGCTTCCGGTCATCTGGGTGTTCGCTGATCGGCGCCGGAAGTGGTGGTGATGAATAGACTTGCTTCTTGCATAACATGCATTAAGGTTGATTTAACAGGTTTTACATAGATTTGAGTAGTTTCTAGCGTTACACGCTTTACATAAGTTTAAGTTATAATTACATCGATCTTACAGGTTTACACCTCCCTTTACCGGCGAGATTCGTCCTCGAATCTTCATTTAGTCGTCTTCTTCGGACGTGCGTGGAATTGAAACGAGGTAGATGGAAGCGGGTGCTTCGTTGCGCGGTGTGCATGCCATGACGGCTCCGAGTTGATATTGGTCCTGGTTTCGATTGATGTCTCTCCCGACGAGGCATGGTCGGTATTCTCCCGGGATGCGGATTGTCGTCGATTTGATGTAGGGATTGTTGTAGTCCGGGTCAATATGCTGGATGATGCAAGTAGTGGGCGCACGCGTGCTCGGGGTGACGAGGTCGAATTCCTTGACTTGGAGAATTGGGATGACGTCCTGTGTCGTGGTCCAGTAGTCGTATCTCGTGCTTTCGATAGCGTTCTGGATGTGGCGTTTCATCACTAATTCCCATGGAAGAGTGATGTTGTAGACCCATACGAGGTCGCCGATGCTGGTCTGCGTGGGCATGGTTCCACGTGTCTGGCTGCTGCGATTCCATGACGTTTGCGCGTCCAGGGCCAGGTAGCGGAGTTCGGGTCGTTGCCAGAATAGTTCGAAGTGCATGGCTTCTATCGTCATGGATCCTGGTCCTTTCGTGTTGATCACTCTGTAGAGCATCGGCATGTTCGCGGAGAATGGTGGCTTGAGGATCGTCGGGCTGTGGCTGGTAATCAGGTTTCCTTGGATGATTTCGGGCGCGGCAGTTGGGTTCTCGGTGTGATATCTGATGACGTCCGTGGCCTCCTGGCGGAACTTGACAATATCCGGTAGTCGAGTGATTCCTGTGATCGGGAATGATGTTTCCTGGTTGTTGTCGTGAGCGATGACTCCGTGCATCTGTCGGCAGTTGGTGATGCGGGTTGCGAGCGGAATATCCTTGGCGAGAGTCTTTCTGCGGTAGAGTTGTAAGCAGCTTTCCCATCGTTCTTCGTCGGCCCATGTGATTTCTCGAAGCTGGTCGAATTCCGGATTGATGATGAGCCTTGCGTAGTCTTCCTCGGTCCATGGATCTTGTTTGATGACGTATGGGGCGATCGGATGGTCGATCCATTTCTGAAAATTTCGGTTATGGGTATAGCTTGCTTCTGCAGTTTCACTGCTCGGGTTTCGAGGGCGGTTTTGCATTGCCTTTTTATAGCGAAAAGTAAAAGGTGGAAAGCGTTTTTGGGGCTTCATTTGCGTTGAGTCTTTGATTCGAAAGTATAGGGTTGAGAGATTTCAAAGAAAAGGAAGAAAAAGAAAAACAAAGTATGCGGAAAGTAATTCGATGAGCTTGCGTCTACGGTAGCACCGTTAAAGTAGTAGATTAATTCAAAAAAATAAGAGCGTAATCGAATAATTCGTGGAAGTTGAATATCGGGGAACGGGATTGATCGGTTAGTTGGGATCGAATGATGGCTCGGTGAGGATGCTAATGGATGCCATGTGGCTGACCTGTCTGCACTTTGCTCGGAGGGGATGGGGGCGGCATTTGGCAACATTTGATTTCCGAGGGACGGCTTTTCTAGAGGTTTCGGGCGAATCATGTGAACGGGGGCCGAGGGGCCGGTGAGCTAAGTGACTGAGCTGAAAATGTTTTCGGGTGAAAACTGGAAAGTGGTTTACTTTGAAAAATTACCGGCTTGTGGATTTCCGAAGGTCGATTCAGTGGTAAATTCCATTGTGCGGGGTCCGATCGATCATAATAATTTCCAAATTTCCTGGATTCGTTGAGGTAGTGTAGTGCTTGGACTAAAATTTTATTAAAAAAATCGGATAACCTGGTCCGGTTGTTGCTTCTTTGATTTCTGAAATAAGGTTTTAGATTATGATAAAAAAATAAAAGTCAGGCTGGTTTCAGAGATGACATCTCCACATTACTTGGTTTTTATCTGCTTTTCAGTTTTTTTTTTCGTTTTTTTCTAATTTAGCGATTCTGAAATTTTATGATTAGCAATGTTCGTTTGTCGGTCCCTGGTTTGAATTTCGGATTTTGCGGTTTGCTGGGGGAATCTGGGGCTCCGTGGTCGGGTGACTCATTCGTCCATTTGCTGGGCATCGTGGCGAGAAGGGCGCTGGAGGGGGAAGGGGAAAAAATGGGGGGAAATATCGTTCGTTTCTGACATTTCATGCCGGAGGAAAAGAAAAAGAGCTGAGCGCCAAAAATAAAATACTAGTAAGGAATTGCAAAAGAAAATTGGCGGCGGCTTATTTAATTTCTAGGGATAAAGGCTTCGCAAAGTTCTTCATTTCGCCTAATAAGTGCTTCAATGCGCGCGTTCGAAGATTCCAGAGTGGACTTACATTGATTCAATTCTCGAGTAAGGGCGTCCACCTGGGATTCCATATTGGCTGGTGCGTTGTCCTTGACCATTACAACATTAGCCCATGGTCCTGGATTGCCATGGTTATCATTTCTGTAGCCTCTCGGAATATAGGATTGGGGCTGCTGGCCTAAATTTGAGTTTCCAAAACTGTAACTTCCCTGGTCGCGTAGACGGAATCTGCAGTGAACAGTGTAGTGGCCTAATTTTCCGCAATATTGGCATCTCGGAATACTGGTTTGTCCTTCTTCGGGACTCGAAAAATCATTCATTGCGTTTCCTGAATTGAAATTAGACGCGTAGGCTTGGCTAGTTTGCGCGTAATTTTGGGGAGCTGTCAAAGCTTGAATCGCCGGGGACACGGCATTGTCCATTACTAAAAGATTAGCTGCGGTCGCGTCCGTAAGCAAAATTTCTACCTGTTTTGCTCGGTTGACGGCGTCTTCGAATGTCGCGGGGTTGCTGTTGAGCGTCCAGAATCGTAGTGCGGGCCTCAATTTCGATACAAAAGAATCCATTAGAGTAGCCTGAAAAACTGCGGCTGGTTGACCGTCCGTAGCGGTTCTTACCAATTTCATTAAACGGTTGGCAAAGGCTTCTACTGTCTCAGTAGGTTCCTGCTTTAAACTCGTAATGGTTTGTCTAGCGATAAAACGGTGCTGCGGGGATTCAAACTGACCTTTCAGGTATTCTTTCATTGCTGCGAAGGTTGCTCGGGTTTCAGCAGTTGCTCCTTCCACTTTTTCTCGTGCATATCCATCTAAATGGGCGATCAAAAAACTTACTTTTTGTGTTTCCGTAGTATTCGCGGTAATCATTGTTGCCAGAACGTCTTCGAATCTGCGAATCCATTCGCTGAAGGTTGTGCCGTCGTTAGAACCAGTGAAAGGCTGAATTCTAGACTTACCAATTTCTAAAATCATAACTCTTGGAGCAAATTGGTTGGGTTTGAGGGGAATAGTGTTTGATTCTGTCGTGGCACGACTAATAATTTTGGTAGTACTTACCTTGGGAATAGTGTTTGCATCTGTCGTGGCACGACTATTAATCTTGGTGGTACTTACCTTGGGCTGCTGTTGATCTGCCGTCGGTGGCTTGGCTGCTTCTTCTTTGATGAATTGTTCTTGAAGTATTTCTGCTGTAGTTGGTCGTCGCTGGAGTGGCGGATTTTGGGGGATTTGGGTAAAATAGCTCGTTTCTATCGTATCACGATTCAGCTGAAATGGCGGATTTTGGGTAAAATGGCTCTTTCCTATCGTATCACGATTGATTTCGGCATATTGGTCGGTGACGTCGTTGGTCGAGTTCCTCAAATGGGCGTGCTGGTGGTGGGCGGTGGTAAAATATCGTGGCTGCGGCGTCGCCGCTGGGCTTTTCTGGTCGACGGTCGGCTTGGTGCCGACGCCGCTTCTCGAGAGCATGGGGTTGGGCGGTCCTCTGGAGTCAGGATTTATCGTCTGGATTTCCAGGCTTTTAGAAAAAATTTGAATAATGTGGGGAGAACAAAATGAATTGATTGTACGTGCTGCAGGCTTCTTGCATAGTTTGCGCTAGCTTTAAACTTTTGGGATTGATCAAAATAGTTCTACCTGGCTTAGTAGCCGATCGCGCTTGCATAATTTGCCTTCTGCGGCTTTTGAAAACCGCTCGCCTAGTAGCCAATTTTTTGGGCGGGGCTCCTGGCCGGGAAGCCTGCCTTTTTGGGCTGGATTGGGTGCTACCTAGGGAGACGTGGCGCCTGTTTTCAAAACGGCAGGTTTAAAAAATGCTCAAAAAGTCCTAGATTTCTCCAGAGTCTTCAAAAGCTACTTAAATGAATTTTCATCTGAACGGGCTCTGAAAACCGAACAGATGACCTCAGAGGCTTTTCCAAAAGAAAAGAGATCCTCCGGCCACGCTCTGGATATGTCCGGGCACCGAAAACGGTCGTCCCACAAAACTTCCCATAAAAATAAAAAAACAAGAGGCTCGAGGAAATCAAAAAAGTAGAGAAAAAAATGAGAGGGAGAAAGCGAAAAAAGGAACCACTCGCCAGCTACCAGTAAACTCTTTGAGTTGTGGGTTTAGGAGGCTCGCTCCTTAATAACTTTTATCTACATGATATAAAGGCGGTGAGGTGGTTTCCCTTATTTCGCTCTCTCCTTGCTCTCTCCTGGTAGGATCTCGGGGGCAGCTTTTATAGATGTTGAGTGGCGTGGGCAGCGGAAGTGGTGAAATCTGGAAATGGAATGTTAAGTGGTTGAAATCCTGGGGTTGGACGACTTGGTCCTGGATGGCGTGATGTCCTTTGACCTGGCTTCCGGTCATCTGGGTGTTCGCTGATCGGCGCCGGAAGTGGTGGTGATGAATAGACTTGCTTCTTGCATAACATGCATTAAGGTTGATTTAACAGGTTTTACATAGATTTGAGTAGTTTCTAGCGTTACACGCTTTACATAAGTTTAAGTTATAATTACATCGATCTTACAGGTTTACATTTATTAGACTTTTAGGCTAGATTTTCGGTTATGTTTACACTTTTTAAGCTAGACGCTCGCTTCTTACCTTCCAAATCCAGGCTCGGTGAGGAGAAGCCGACGCGCGTGTAGTCGGGAAGGACGAAATTACTGAAATAGAGCCCTAGATTTTAGTATGCGCTATTTTCTAAGGGCTTTGAAGTCTCTGCAAGTGTTTTAAGTTTGGCAATAAGATCCAAACCTGAAATGCGCCAACACGTAGAACATGGGCTGTTTGATGAATTCATCAACCGTGTAGTTGGCAATGATCGGCGAATCAACAAAGTTTTTCACCCAATTCGGGCCGCCCTGAGGGTCGAGGACGATGTTCCAGTCAACCCAGCCCTGGATGCCGTGCGAGATGTCCTAAATGGCATATTAGTCCATTTTTTGCACAAATTTAGAGGACTTAAATTCCTTTAGCACAAATTTAGAGGACTTTTCCTCTGTTTACAAAAACCCACCTCAATGATATTCTGCGCGTATTGATCGGCGCGATTCCAATCGCCCATCACCGGCGACAGCTCATAGTCGTGCCAGCCGGCGCACGCCTAGAAACATAATTCTTTTGCAACTCGATAGCCCTTACCTCGGTGTACAGGCTGATATATCCTGGGTACTTCTGCATCGTCTGGTCGATGACTTCCGGCGAGATTCCCTCATCGGCGTACCAATGCCAGGCAAAACCGCCAACATACGGGGCGGTGACCGGATCGCCGAGGCACTAAATACGTTTTATTTTGTGTAATATTAATGCTTCTATAACACGTTTTAGTGGCAATTGAGCTACCTTTCACCAAGCCGATTTTGTGCAGAATTTTGCGCTGATCCCAAACCCATTTTCAAAAACCTACGAAACGACCAGATCAACAAATTTTAGGCTTTTGGCGTGAAAAAGCCTAATTTCGAGAAATCTTTGCTTTTTCCACCGTCCTTCATAGCTTCTTTAATCTGGTCATTTCTATGATTTTGAAAACAGTCTCGGAATCAGCGCAAAATTCTTCACAAAATACGCCTGGTACCGTGGGGAAATCCGTGGAGATACCTATTTTAATTGATACCTTATCCGCAAAATCGGGGAAAGCATAGCGATTCTCATCTCCGATGAGCAAAGTCAGATCTTTGGTGGCATCATTGGCGCGAAGCATCGGTCCAAGGTGGTACTTGACGAAATCACTAGAATGTTGACTTTCATCATGTAAAATTTACAAAATGCTCTTTTCTTTTGCTTTTTGGAGAATAAAGCATTTTTCGCGACTCACCACTCCTGGTCGCTGGTGAAGTTGACCACCTGGAACTTGTAATCGGCATTCTGGCCCTCGCGCGGCTCGTTCGTCGGCGTCATCCCCCAGAATTTGATGCCCTCCTTCGCGTACTCCTCGAAGAAGCTGAAACACGAATATTTCGAAAAATGGGCGTCTTACCGCTTGTAATAAGTGGCATAAGCCTTGTAGTAAGGTCCAGTTGTGTCGCCCTTCATCGGGGCACCACCCTGGGAAATTCATAAATGAAGCTTTGAGACATTTGCAGCTCAAAAGCTCAAAAAGGCGATGAATTCGCGCTCACCTCCATCTTGCCGCTCGTCTTCATCCACCCAGGCGGGGCCCAAGCCGTGCAGAACAGCTTCAAGTCGACGTTGCTCTGCTTGGAAAGTGAGACGGCCTGTTTTATATAAGGAATCTAAAGGTTTTCGCGTAAAAGAGACTTAAAGAAAACAGATACCTTATAAAGATAGTCCTCCTTCGTCAGGTTAAAGTTGACCATGTCGAAGTCGTCGACAACATCGTTGTACGAGTAGGGGCCGGTAGAAAAGTCGGCGGACGCCACGACGGTGCGGGTGAAGCGGTAGCCGATTCCTAAAAACGTATCTTTTTGATCTGACGGCTCAAAATCCAGAAAAACACCTGAAAATTCGCAAACGATTAAGAAAAAAAAGTGATTTTTGGCCGACCTTTAGGTCCATAATATTGGTTCATCAATTGATCGCTGGTTGCCTGGCTCAATTTCTTCAGGTTAATTCCGACGGCGTCGGTGATGGCTCCGCCAAAGCCGAGCATTTTCTGAAGGTTTTTTCTTATCTGTATGCTTTTACTGCTTGTTTTTGTGTTTCGCCACTTCTAAATAGCTTTATAAAGCCACGCTTTTCCTAGCAAATCTTAAGGTCCTAAAACCGAACCTGGAACTTCCTCGTCGTGTCAATGTTGATCGTTGACGTCGAATCTAAACAAAATTTCAAGCTAAAACCCGCTAACAAACTCGGAAAGGCGATAAAGTGGAAGTCGACGCGGTCGAGACGATATTGGTCACGCGAAGAGATGTAGACGGCAAAGTTTTCGCCCTGAATTAATGTTTGTAAAAATGGAAAAAGCTAATCCAGACGGGCCGGTTTTTATCCCTCTGGGCCCGCGAGTACGGAGCGCGCTTTAGCAAACTTCCAGTACTTTCCTGCCTATTTACCAACAAGTGTATGGTGTATTGCAACGGAACTTCATTTTGTTTTCGTAATTTACAACTTTACATGTTTGTCAGCAATTGCGAGAAGAAAGATAGTTTGCAGAAGAATTTCTTTTCGTAGTTTCGGCTATAAGTTCCTCCCGACCTTGGTTTCCAATACCAGCTTTTGTAAAATGCCTAGTCGTTGTGAAATCAAAAAACTGTTCAGCTAGAACATAAAGCTAGAACTATTCTCTCCTGCGATGTACTGAATTGCCAATACACGACTCCATACAGTGGCAACTATTGAAAACACCAATTGACAGCCCATGGAATCTCACAAGGATACCTCCCCAGCTCGAAGTTCAGCTTCGATTAGCTAAACAGCCTATCAGATGCAGTTTTTTACGCTGATAACGATACCGCTATTTATTTTTGCCCAAATCCACAAAAACACTGTTAAAAATAGCTTTAAAGTTTTGCCATGATGTACCGCCATGCCTCAAAGCCCTTCCCCAGGGCAAGGGACCCATCGGTGGCGTGGTGTAGTCGGCAAGTCCTTGGCGTACCAATCTAGTCGTGAGGGGTTCGAGTCTTTCCGCTGACGACTTTTTTGCTTTTTGGATAAAAAGTACTGGGAAGGTCATATGAACGCCCAGTACCAATTTTTCTAGAGTTTTTGGCCCCTTGGCGATTGATTTGGCAACAGAAAGCATTTTGGCAATAACACAGATTTTTTTTCGCAACCCGATAATGATTATGAGTAATTGTGCCATTAAAAACTCTCCTTCTCACCCTGAAGCAGAAAAACGCTAGACATCAAAATCGATGGTAAACAACGCCTAACAAATTCCTTTTCGGAAACTAAAAACAGTTTTGAGCAAGCGCTAGAAGCTGCTGATTGACCCCTTTGATAATTCAAACTTTCTTTGACCAAAAAAAATGAAACCGAGCATAAAATCGTAATCAAACCGACCAAGCGATGCAAAACAAATGAAAAAATTTTTACTGGGCTTTTATACGGCCTTCCCAGCACTTTTTATCCAAAAAGCAAAAAAGTCGTCAGCGGCAAGACTCGAACCCTTGATCACTAGATTGGCATACCAAGTATCAGGTTGGAACGAAAGTTCTGTCGCCGAGATTTTGGAAGGCTGGTTAAATTCGGGCATAGCTCCATTCTGCACATGCAATATGTCATTTTGTAGCTCTCGGCCTGAATGGTTCCGGGAGGAGGTCCTAGACCGCCAAAATCAAGAACGGCCGAGATACAGGTCCAAGAAGATTTTTCAAAAATTACGAGAAAGTGTTTTTGCAAGTTATCTCAGCATAGAGATATTTGCATGCGATACCTTTAACGCCAATCGATAGCTCTCAAGGAGTAGATATCGATAGTTGTTGAGATCATCAAAATTGGACACTGGATGGCCGAGATATGGCCTCTTGAAATTTGGCCCATTCCTTAGAACTTTTCTCGATTTCCCATACATTTCCAAACATTTGACGGACAAGTGCCGGAAATTACCGCTTTATTTTTGGACTAGCGGAGCGAATTTTGAGAAAATGTATGGGAAATCGAGAAAAGTTCTAAGGAATGGGCCAAATTTCAAGAGGCCATATCTCGGCCATCCAGTGTCCAATTTTGATGATCTCAACAACTATCGATATCTACTCCTTGAGAGCTATCGATTGGCGTTAAAGGTATCGCATGCAAATATCTCTATGCTGAGATAACTTGCAAAAACATTTTCTCGTAATTTTTGAAAAATCTTCTTGGACCTGTATCTCGGCCGTTCTTGATTTTGGCGGTCTAGGACCTCCTCCCGGAACCATTCAGGCCGAGAGCTACAAAATGACATATTGCATGTGCAGAATGGAGCTATGCCCGAATTTAGCCAGCCTTCCAAAATCTCGGCGACAGAACTTTCGTTCCAACCTGATAGTTGCCGACGACACCACGCCACCGATGGATGCCTCCCCCTTGGAAGGAGGCTTTGAAGCGCCTATGGCAGATCACGCCCAGCCAGACAAAAATGCGTAATGTTTAAAATGATTTTTCATAGCGTTCCTCTGGATTTGGGCAAAAATAAATATCGGGATCGGGATCAGCGTGAAAAACTACATCTGCTAGGCTATATAGCTAACCGAAGTCGAACTTCGAGCTGGGGAGGTATCCTTGTCAGTTCCTGTAAAAGAAAATCCGAGCGATGGGAGCGACCAGAAGAAACACCGGTGCGGTGAATGCGATGCAGCATATGACTCGAAAAAGAAGCTACAGGAGCACGTGTAGAAGGAAGAGAACCAAGGAGCGTGTACTTCAAGAATTGTGCGCAATATTTGTGAGTTTTTACGCCGTCACTCAGTAAGAGCTCGCACTGCATTATCGCGGACAACACATCCAAAAGCCTGTATAGTTTTTTATTAATAATTTAACCCATACCAGGGTTGAAAAGCCGCTACGCGGCTCTTCACCCCTGGCCTTTGCGCGGGGGGATCTTTAAACGTTGGGCTTTGCATAATTCGGGCCAGAGCTAGAGCGAACCCTAAAAATAGCAAAAGCAACCGGCCGCAAGCGCGACAAAAGCCAAAATGAGGCTCCTAGCGCCTCGTATGCAAATTAGTCTATTTCCATATGTTTTTAAAACGTTAAAATAAGGTATAAAACGAAATTTTAGTAAATTCCGATAAGTGTGCAGTAATCTACGCCCTCGACTACCCCTAACTACCTTATTTCTGGAACAAAAAATTCTTTCCCCGTTGAGTTATGGCTGGAACCCGGGTTTTTATGCAAATTGTCTACACACACACAGACACTATTTTTTTATATATAGTAGGATACTCACGAGGTGACGATGGTTATGATGGAGGATATTGACGTCTTCAAGTTGTGGCTCAAAATCACCGAGAATCGGACGTTCCATACTTCTACGTTCGTCGCACCTATGGCTTGAACTTACTACAGGTGCACTTTTGCCGTCAGACATCTTCGGTATCTAATGCCGGGCAACAGTGTTGTACAGCGTTTGTTCAGGTTTGCCGATGGCCCGTTTTCATTGAAACATTTTGTAAAACAATTTAGACCACTGTCTTGCCCACCGGAGAAACCTCCGTTAAGTATTGTGCTTACCATACGCATGGCTTTGACCCTTAATTGATGAGCCTTGAAGTCTATAATCTATGAAACTACTGAAAAAGAAATTCTTCTGCAAACTATCTTTCTTCTCGCAATTGCTGACAAACATGTAAAGTTGTGAATTACGAAAACAAAATGAAGTTCCGTTGCAATACACCATACACTTGTTGGTAAATAGGCAGGAAAGTACTGGATGTTTGCTAAAGCGCGCTCCGTACTCGCGGGCCCAGAGGGATAAAAACCGGCCCGTCTAATCCAGCTGTAAACGTGTTGTAGCTTGGATTTACGCTTCAAAACTTGTTCCGACAACTTTGATTCTACTTTCCGAACGAAAAATTTAAAAATTTTAATTAGGATCTAAAATTCCGCCACGCTACGCGGGTACGGAATTTTGTACGGCGCCCTAATCACCGTAGCATAACGTTTTCCCTTTTTGTCGCAGATTCTTTATTTTTCGCGTTTTAAAAAATTGTTTTGTATTCGATTTATTCTTGTTTTTGCAGTGCATGTTTTCGTTTCTTGCAGCGCGCTGGCTGTTTCTCTTTTACCCGCCTTTTTCGGAACTTTCTGGCTCCTTCCCAATATTTCTCCCAAGTTTTATGAGTTTCTTTCCTTTTTCATTTTGTATTCTTCCTTTCTAGCTACAACTTCTGTTTTTGCAGGCTGATGAGCAGGCGCGAGGAGGAATGTCTGATCGAGGAGGAGCCGGAGTGTTCGCGGAAAAACGATGGGCGCCAAATCTTCCGAATACTCTCGCGTGAGGGCCACGAGTTCGCGATGGAGAAGGGCGCCTGCATGCACTCGGTGAAGCTGGCCGATATGATCCGCACGCGCAAGATGAGGGAGGTACCCATGTTGGAGGTGTGTTTTTGTAATCAAAACCCCAGTAAATTTTTTTGACCTATTTTTGGAACAGATTTGAGTTCAATGGTTCTTTCTGTATCTAAATTAGCTTTTTGCGGTTTGTAGCTACCTTTTCGATGTCGTTTATTAGTTCTTAGTTCTCTTTCGTATAGCTTTGGCTTTATGCTTCTTATAATTTTGTATTTGTTGGTATTTGTAGCTTTATTTTCATTTCATTCTTATGGCTTCTTACTCTTACTTCGCTTTTTCCAGGTCTCTTCCGCAATGCTGAAGCTCATCGCCGACTGGTGCACCTTCCACAAGTACATGCCGCACCAATGGAAGGAGCCGCACGGCTGGTACCACTTGCGCCATCCAGACATGATCACGTTCGTTTTGTCGCGTGTTTCTATTTATTAAATTTCTTTAGGTGGGCAAAGAAATACACGACCGCCCTCACGCCGCAACAACTGCTCGAGCTGGCCACGGTGGCGAACAATTTGCAGATTGGATCGTTGGTGGCAAGGTATAAATTTGAGCACTTTCTTGGAGAAAAGTATTTCACAATGGCCGGAAACTCGAGATAGGAAAAGCGTAAATTGGTTCTTGCGCATTATCGTGGGGGATTAACTTTTCTCTTAGAGGTCAATCTTATCAATTATAGATAGCGTAAATCTTTCTAAGCCGGTTTAACTATTCTCAAACGTAAAAGCTTTACAAATTTTTCCGAAAAAATGCCGGAATATCGTGGTCAGTGAATAAATCTGCACAAGATAGTGATGTCCTTTTAGCTAATTTTTGCCGTTTCGCTTCTATCTTTTTCTTTTTAGTGTATGTGACGAGATCGGCGGACGCCTTCGAGGACAAACGGTGGAACAGATGCGCGAGATGTGGAACATCCCCGCCGACCCGGTCGAGATCGACGAGAAGGCGGCCAGCGAGCGCAAGACCAAGGCCCTCGAAGCCCTCCGGCAGCAGCTGTTGCGCAGCCTGCGCGCGCGAAAAAATAACAAAAGAGTGCCACCCATGTGTTGACCGCGTGTTGTATCACTCACGTCTTTCTATTCGACTCTCTCCGTGTGTACATTTCGTTGTTTTCGTTATTATTATAATGGGTGATTGTTGCCGTGTATCTTTATCGGTCGCGTGTCTATCAAAGAATTTCTTTATGTGTAATTCGTATGGGTTGTTGAAGGTTTCAAGATAAAGTATTTAGGATTACGGTTTTGTGGCAGTTTTTCAATCGCTGTTTGCGTGCCTTTTTGCTTCCGATTTGGAAACACTTTGCGATGCCTTACAATTTGAATAGTTAATAATAGCCGGCTTTTGTTTTTGGGATTTAGCCTTGAAAATTATAGTAGTTCCGGAATAGTCCGAAGATTGGAAATGCTGGTTTGATTTCACCTTTTGACGTATGTTTCGTCTAGAATAGCTAGGATATAACATGCTTTAGAGTTCCTGCTTTTGACTAACCGTAACGGTTCCGAGCGGCTGGAAGTCGTCGCAAAACGTGGCGTTGCACACACATCCGAAGGCCGTACCCCGAGACGTGGGCGGGTAGTCTCGCCGATTGCACTCGTTTCTGGCTAAATTGACAATTTTAGGCAACTTTCCGCCTTTCACTAGGTTAAAAAGGCCTGTTTCTGACGGGTTTTATTGCAGATTTATCTGTGAAAGTCTCACCTAAACAGATCGTTGCGAGGCAAGCCACCAGGAGTAGCCGCAGCATCATGGCCTAGTTAGGTTTACCTTAAACAGCTGATTGGAAATTATGTGGCTTTACGAAACTTTATAGAAATAGCGAAGTAGGGTCTTTCGTATTTTCGGAGGGGGTGTTTCCCATAGATCCTTAAATGCTTAGTAAGGAAGTAGTAGTAACTGTTTTAATAGTTCTTCGTTGAAATTTTAGCCGAAAACGGCCATTTTTGGTCGAAAAAGATTATTTTTGTATTTCTTCATCAAAATTTGTGAAGTTTTTGCGTTTAGGAATAGCGAAAAACAGTTCAGAGACACCTTCACCTTTTATATTAGAAAACTGCGCAAGAAAATTGATCAATCCGATAGTGCGAGAAAACCCGGATGGGAGATAAATAGGGTAAAAATAGGAACGAAATACTAGCAAAGTGATGCGAGCCCTTTCTCAGTCCAAAAAGAGTGCGTAGAGATCGTGCCAATTTTCTTGCGAATAACTTTGCCCGTTTTAGAATATAATACATTGCTGGGCGGTGCCTAGATTTTCAATAACAATCCGTTCCAAAAGATCCTGCCCTTTCCTGCTATACAAAATTGACCAGGAATCCGAAGATAGAAAGGGACTAAGTAAACGGTTCTAGGGAATGCCGGAGCACGTTTGCGGTCTCTGGCCGTTTTGGGGGGTTTATTGACAGCTCTTTTGATAAGCAGGGAACGCGGCAACTTTGATACTTTGGCAGGGCGGACCCGGGACTGTTGAGCATCAATCAGTTTTTTTCTGGCCCTAAAAGGCGAACTTTCGGACTGTCGGGGTGCCGTTTTGGGGTCAGTTCGTCTGGGGGGATTTCGGAGGAGGCTTTATCACATTTTTAGCCGGGGGGAAAACTCATTTTTGATATGCCCGTCTATTGATATGATAAGGTTTTTAGTAGTGTTTGATTGCCAGAAAGTTACAAAAAATATTTTTAAAAGGTTAAAATGTTGAGCTTTTTGGTTAGTTATGCATTTTTTACAAAAAGTAAATCGGAATTTTTATGTTGTTTTTTTTACCATAACCCCCTGCTAACAGTCCAGCACCGGTAGATTAGTTTTTCATTAAATTTGCTTTAGAAAAGACGGTTGGCATGTAGCGATCGTTTTTTTCTTTGCTCTTGAAACTGTCTCGCTCGATGAGTCAGCGGTTTTGTTTACGCTCTTTTTTTGCGAGGCATTCTTCTCTTTCGCCGATCAGACTTTTCTGGGAACGTTCATTTTGATCTGATTTATTTCTAGTACTATCAGGCCCGGTCTACGACTACGAAATGCTATAAATAACAGTAGCAATAGAAGCGGGTGGTAGTTGGATATTGGCAAATCGAGTCGTTTTCGCTTGATCTTGGATCGTACAGCTTTCCGTCGTGTTTCCGCTCAGGTTATGGAGGACGACGACTCGTTGATCACCACCTGGAGCGATGAAAGCTACTCCTAAATATATCGTCTTTTTAAATGGTATATTTCTAACCTTCGACGTCATCATTTGACGATTCGAAATCGACTCTGGTGTAGTTGTCGAGCACGAATTTACTAGAACAAATTGATTTAGTAATATTTAAAAGGCCGTTCGCGAGCCACCCGAACAGACCCTAATATGGCTTGGCACAGTTTTCTTCGACCCTGTTTTTTTGACGGCATCGGAAAGAGCATAGTCGAATTAGTAGAGCTGCATAGTTTTGAAAGTTTAAAAAGTTAATTTTTAGGGTTTAAATTGGAGTCAAAGTTGCCGACCCTCAAAAATTACCTCGAAAGTTACTGAACCAAATTGGTCGAAAATTTGTCACAATACCTAATTTGGGATGCTGATTATTTCTCTAATACATCCAAAAGCACGAAATTGAGCGGAACATGGTTAAATCGCGTACCCAAAACAGTTTTTCAGGGTTTTCTATTTTACGGGTTCTTGGCGGTCCATTGTAAATAACCTTAAAAGATGCGCAAAAAAATTCTACATCGAATGAGGTATTTTATACCGGGCCGACAGAAACCCTACTCTTGCTATAAAGCATTTACTGCGCGCAAAACAGCCCCAAAAATGGGTCAAAAACCTCAAAAATGACAAATTTGGAAATCGAATATATCAAACCATATCTAGAGAACGAGCTGAGTCCATTGCAAAAAAGAGCACAAAGAAATTTGGCTTCTGAATATAGGCTTAGATCCGGGGAGGAATCGAACTCGGACCCTTCGCCTGGAAGCCCTCCCTGGGGCCGTAGTGGATTGCATGAGTGCTCGCCTACCAATCCAAGGGCCGCGCCAGTTCAATCCCAGACCCCCTTCAAAAGCAATATTTCTTTTTGCTCTTTTTTTGCAATGGACTCAGCTCGTTCTCTAGATATGGTTTGATATATTCGATTTCCAAATTTGTCATTTTTGAGGTTTTTGACCCATTTTTGGGGCTGTTTTGCGCGCAGTAAATGCTTTATAGCAAGAGTAGGGTTTCTGTCGGCCCGGTATAAAATACCTCATTCGATGTAGAATTTTTTTGCGCATCTTTTAAGGTTATTTACAATGGACCGCCAAGAACCCGTAAAATACAAAACCCTGAAAAACTGTTTTGAGTACGCGATTTAACCATGTTCCGCTCAATTTCGTGCTTTTGGATGTATTAGAGAAATGATCAGCATCCCAAATTAGGTATTGTGACAAATTTTCGACCAATTTGGTTCAGTAACTTTCGAGATAATTTTTGAGGGTCGGCAACTTTGACTCCAATTTAAACCCTAAAAATTAACTTTTTAAACTTTCAAAACTATGTAGCTCTACTAATTCGACTATGCTCTTTCCGATGCCGTCAAAAAAATAGGGTCGAAAAAAACTGTGCCAAGCATTGTTCGGTCCTCTCGCAAACGGCCTTTTAAAGCATTTCTCTGATTTCCGGCCAACTCGCCGACATTCGACTTGCCGACAGCCAACCCGCCGACAGCCGACTCGCCGACAGCCGACTCGCCGACAAGGCAACCCGCCGACAGCCAACTCGCCGACACTTCGACTCGCCGACAGCCAACTCGCCGACACTTCCACTCGCCGACAGCCAACTCGCCGACATTTTCAAGTATCCTAGGGTCGACAGATTTGATTACACCAAGTTTTCACTGATTTGCTTTCACACTTTAAATGCAATTTTAGGGTAGGCGCTAAAGGTCGCGCAAAATCGAACCCGCATGGCTAGCCTGAAGCAAGCGCTTTAGACCACTAGGCCAAGGCAGGAACGGAAGACGGGAGGTGGAGGCGGGTTATGAAGCGCAGAGTACACTATGCCAGATTGCAGAATTCTGATCCAAACTTTCATGCTAATTTTGAATTACCGGAACCACCTCCCTAAAATGACTGACTACGGCTCATTTTGACCCGAAAATTTGCATGTAGCAAGATATTTCTGTCGACTCATAAAATACATGAAAATGTCGGCCACTTGGCTGTCGGCGAGTTGGCTGTCGGCGAGTTGGCTTGTCGGCGAGTTGGCTGTCGGCGAGTTGGCTTGTCGGCGAGTTGGCTGTCGGCGAGCTGGCTGTCGGCGAGTCGAATGTCGGCGAGTTGTCCATTCACCCATTTCTCTAGCCTAGCATACCTAAAATGTCCCATAACATAAAACATGGGCTGTTTGATGAATTCATCCGATGTGTAATTTGCGATGATTGGGGCATCCACGAAGTTGTTGACCCAATCCGGACCACCCTGCCCGTCGAGTACGATATTCCAATCCACCCAGCCTTGGACGCCGTGCGAGATGTCCTAAGCTAGTCCGTTCGTATCTTTTATGACGTTTATAAGGTACTGTACGCATTTTTCGCTTTTTCTACTCATTTTCCTAGGTTACCTCGATGATATCATGCGCATATTCATCGGCCCGTTCCCATTCACCCATCAGGGGTCCCATCGAGTTTTTCCAGCCTCCGCAGGCCTAGGAAAGGTTATAATTTTTTTTTGCTAGGAATTTATTTACTTTGCCGTAGAAGGCCGTTAATTTCACCTACTTACCCAGGTCTAAAAATTCGTTCTATACGAATTATATCTATTTTTAAGGGAGATCTATTAATTTTGCTTGATTGCCTCCATATTTCAAATACATTGTATGCCAATTAGATATCTGGTTTTGAAGGTAAGGTATCTGCTATTAATTACAGCTAATTACCTTCGTATACGAATTAAATTTATAGTTTTTAACGTATTTCTAGCTATTTATTTACAAAGCTACTTAATGAAAGGCCTTTTTTTGCTGGAAAGGTGTTTAATTTAAGCTATAGTGCTATTAACTTTATTTCCTTACCTCCGTATACAAATTCATATACCCAGGATGATTCTGG